TTTCAAAGCTAGGTATTTTGTTTAGCTATGCAAGGGTTGACCAGTAAATTCTTGACCTTTTTTATCTCTTATCCTACAAACAGATGCTTGAAAGTTGAACACTTCCATTCAGATTATACCTTCTTCCAGCATACCTCAATGGTATGATCTCGGCCTTTTGCTTTTCCAAACTTTCATTGGTACCATCTTTGGGGGAGCTACACAGTAGCTGTCTTTTTTCGCATATTAATGCTGCTGTTAGCAAGGCCTATAAAAGTTTGGGCTTCACAATCAGAAATTCTGGGATTTCAGTAATGTGAATAAAATGATCTTGTTATATAATTTATTTGCTCAATCCAAACTTGAATACTGTTCGACAATATGGTATCCTGTTTATGAAGCTCACTCTAAAAAAATCGAACGTGTTTACAGGCGGTTTGTGAAATATTTATTGTACAAGGAAGATGGTACGTATCCAGAAGTTGGCTTGAGGCATGAAGTATTACTTAGCAGATATAACCTCTATAACTTGGAGAAGCGCAGAAACTATACGGATTGTGTATTTTTATATAAACTGTTAAATAATGCGATAGATTGTGAATATTTACTTAGTAAGATTCTTATTCATGTACCTGATGCTAAAATGCGATCCAAATCAGAATACTTTTACTCAAGCGTAACTAGAACCAACGCGTTGCTTTCCTGTCCAATATATGTAGTATTAAACAATTACGAACGTGCAAGAAACGCTGTAGATTTGCTCTTTTGTTATTTGCGCAGCTTAAAAAGATTTTAGATAACAGTAGGCTAAGTCATCTGGTAATTTTGAATTATTTTTGAACATCTTGATGTCTTAAAATTGACTCCTGTGTCCCTATCCGTAATTAACCATTCGAATAGTGTATAGGTTACCGGTAATCTGCATAATTCAGGTATTCTATACAATACCTAGGCAATGTATAGAATACCTGGGTTGCACAGGCAATGTATGAAATATTATGAATATTATTATCCATTGCATACTTTACCTAGGTAATGAATACAATTCCTAGGGAGTGCAAACAGTACCTGCTGTTTTACAGGCAATGTGTAAAATAAATAGAAGAAATAAAAATTTAATCGACACACATACGTATATAAAATGAAAAAAGTTATATTATTTAAAATCAACTTTATTATATATGGTGTGGGCGTCGTTTCGTTGACTTCCAGATTCTGGGATATTAGACCTCCAAACACCAGTTTGTGGTGTAGTACCCTTTTTATGTAATACCTTACTTTAGCTGTTTTGGATTAGGTGCTACCCCGTCCATTTTCTTATGGGATTTAAACCTTCAGCGTGGGAAGGAATTGCACAGAACCACTATTGACACTCCTCCAGTTTTGTTTTGTAGCTGCCTTGTAGCTGTTTCGCAGATGATATTGCTGGAAGCCACCCCTTCCCCTTGAGCAAAACCCGTTCCTTGCTCTCGTCTTTTACGTACATTACCGGCTGCGCATTCGGTATTGTATAGAATACCTAGGCAAATTATAAAACAAATAATATTCCATACATTACCTACACGTTTTAGGTATTCCATACATTACCTAGGTATTGTATAGAATACCGGATTATACAGATTGCCGGTAACATATATACTGGTAAATAAATAAAGGAGCGGCCAGCCAGTTCTGGATGTATGAACTTCGACACAATTAGGGTGGGAGGTCTATTTTATATACTAACCCAATGCTACCAATCTCTCGATCTATAGGTCTCGATCGCAGCTCGTGGTTTCCCGTGTCGGTCTCGGACGCGAACCGACATCTTGATTTTGGTCTGATTCCTTAGGTGCCGTGGAAATCTGAGCTACGTTGGCTTGGAGTTGCAGAGAGGAAGTTTGTAGTCGTGTTGTGACAGTGAGTTTTCTTCCAGATTCCTCAACATACCCCACATATGGAAAAACATTGCAGACGGCGGCGTATGCGCCGTTCAGCGTTCAACTCGGACGCTGCCGACGGCCGTCGCGACGCTCCCGACGTCCAACCGTCACTCGGCGACGCTTCGCGAGCGCGCCAGCAGCAGCTGCAAACTACGTCACGTGATTCGCGTCCGGATCGACGCGATCCGCCGGACTTACCGGAACATCCGGAGCTCCGGGCGACGAAGCTACTTTTCAGTTACACTTCTGTGAAACTGATGTGTGAATGTGTGATTGTGACTTTGTGAATGTTTGTACCGTGTCGTATAGTCAGTAACGCTCACATATTTTGGATACTCCTAAGTTTTGGATACTTACTGCCTAGCTTTTTTATATATTCGTACTTTGTAACCGACTAATCTTAAGGTATGTTCAAATCATCTATAAAGTGGTTATGTAACCAGAGAACCATTGGTAATCTCATGAATAATGCGTTATCTGTAGATATCAGTTGCACTTAATTTTTTGCACATTCGTGTATATTCAATATTTGGCTACTTTTCAAAAGATCAAAAAATATTTTTCTAATCTAGAAAACATTGTTACTTTCTTATATGATACATTTTGTTTTATATAAGCAATATTATCTTTTTATAATAATGCATTATGAAGTGAAAGTAGAAAAATCAAAAACCTATATAGTAATGTTATGGATTCAATTTCTCTGTTTTTACTGTGCCGAACATGGATGAATTTTCACAAAATTATCAGTTACGATCTCATAACATATTGTTCTTTAAATATCGAAATGGGTACACGAGCTACTAAAATTTTATTTAAAAAAAACAATCATACAGTTAAAACCACAGAACATTGAAAATAATACTGGCGGGTGCAAGTTACACGAACGTTATGATCATAAAATTAGAGAAGCTCCAAAATTCGGAAATGTTATAAGCTATTATGGAAAGCATCTATGATTTATAAGATCATTTATCTAATATTTCAACAAGTTTTAAATTTTTGGTAACATTTACATAATATGTATGTAAGTACTTGTCTTTATATTTTTTGCCAGTTATATGGACAGACAATGAATGGCGACAGATATTTGGCAGTTTACCAATTATATGGTAATTTGAACAAAAAGGGAAGGGGCCTATACAATAGCTGGGAAATTGCACCATCCAATCTAAAACATAAATGCTTGTGTAATACATACATAGTCTCATACAATCATACAATATGTATGTCCATTCAGATCTATATTGAAATGTATGCCGCATCAACCAAGCTGTCTGAATTATGTTCCACATCCACTGCATCCACATTGACGTTATGTAATAGATATAATCATATTATGTAAATTAAAACAATCGAGAACAATTCGTGTATAATCGCCGCGTTTTGAGTTAGCAGCTTTTGAACTACCCTATTAAAATGTAGCGCGTTTGTTCATAAGTCCTCCATGTATGAAAACGCGCATCCTACATGGACTTGTTAACATTGCGTCCACTGATCGTTGGTCGTTCCGCAATCGGAATCGGGCGATATTATTGGCTAATTACGATTAGTGTGCGGTACATTGGCCGCGATATGGCCAACTCGATGCGTCCTGTACTGATTCATTTAAATTGGTCTCGCATTGCATATCTGGATACGATCTGATACAACTGATGCTGCTACTAGGAATATTTGTTTTGTTGAGAAATTAATAATTTAATAAAAAAATGGCGTCATTAACATTAAAAAATTGAGATACATTCTCCACAACTCCCACCCCAAGTGTTTTGCCTCTATTTTTTTTTTCGAAAATTTTCGCGACTACAGTATATTCAGATAAGAGATAGACCGGACATAAACAAGACCACGTGATCATCGAACGCTGTAACATTCGGCAGGGACGTATTAAGAGTCACGCAGTACATATTTTAGATAGTAGTTGCTGCTTTGCGTAACTTTGTAGTAAATTAGCACAATTCGATGTGTATACGATTGGTGATGGATATAGGATCATGTGGGGGTGGGGTAAGAAATATATAATGATGTAAATATACATAAGGGTTTCAAAATTTTCGCTTCGATTTCCAGCTTCGGATGCCGCCTGATGTTTGGTGAAATACAGTCGAATATAATCTCAAAATGGCGTTTAAATTAGCCTAAATTAAAAATAATCGTATATCTCTTAAAATTGCTTTTAGAATATTGATTAGTATATTTTTTGATTTCTAGGTAAATATGTAACCAAATTAAAATGTTCAAAACGTAAAAAAATGTGCATGGTTGAACATTGTCAGAAAGTAGATTCTTGAATAGGTTTTGCCAAAATGGGTTCAAAAATGTCAATAATTAATTAAAAAATACAGTAGCTTTATAATTACTTATAACTTACCGAATTTGATGAACGACATCTTTTATTGGAAAGATGAGCTTGATGAGCTTTCATCATCGCTACTGCCTGAAGCACCAACGTCAATAATGAATGGCTCGACTTGTTCCTCTAAAATATTGTCCAGTTCCCACATTCTCTTTTCAACTTTGTCTTTCACGTGCTTAATACAGTTTTCCCATTTTTGCGCTGTTATTAATTCTAGTGCTTCTTTGAAAAGTCCTTTGAGGTCACAAAATTTAAAAGTTGTATTGTGCTTAGCTATATAATTTTTAACCTCTGCCCATATGAGCTCAATGGGATTGAGCTCGCAATGGTATGGAGGTAAACGGAGCACAGTTTTATTTTCAATTGCTGCCATTTCGTCAATGGCGTATTTTTTATATTCCGCCTTGTGATCCTTGACAATTCTTAATAATTGTACTTTCAGCATTGCTTCTTCAAAGTTGATATTTTTCGAGCGGAGCCAATTTTGAACATCAACTTTCCTTGAAGCCGTTGTTGGGACCTTCTCCATTCTTCGAGAATGATAAGGCGCATTATCCAACACAACTGCGTTTTCCTCTAAGTTCGGTAAAATTTTTGAAAACCACTGTTCAAACGATTCGCCATTCATTTCCTCGTTGTAATCTCCAGTTTTCTTAGACTCAAAGCACCAAAGACCGTCAACAACAAATCCATCCTCACTGCCAATATGGCAGGTAATGAGCCTTTTCCCTTTACCTGGAAATCGAAGTACTAACTGGTGTAGATTTATTTCAATAAGCGAACCTTTTTCAAATGTTTTCATCACATTCAGCGAAAAAACATTGAGACATGAGTATCAGATTGCTATAATTGGGATTATTTAGTCATATTGAAAGAAAGAATATTGAACGTCGTATGATTACTCAGCGCTTCACAATTTAAAGTTATAAACCTTTAAAAAATGAATGATCAGGAACCTGAAATACGCGCAAATATTAATATTAACAAATTATAACTTTATAAAGCTTAAAGTATGAATTAAAATGATTAGAAATATTAGGAACGGTACACAATATAAAAATTAGTAACTTTTTTTAAGTTTATAATATTCGAAATATTTTAAGATTATATTAAAAAATTATTGAAATATCGAAAACACATAAAAACATGGCTTAAAAAAGTTCTAACAAATGAAAATGACAATAAATTATCCACGCATTTTATCGAAAGTTATAAAAGTTTTGTTACTTGTAATATGTTTTATCTGCCCCCTGGAATTAATGTTTAGAACCTTGTTTCCAAGGTTTGAAAAACATCCGATTGTTGTCTATTACTCGTATTTACCTGCTGGATTTTTTAATCCGGTGGACAGTCCATCTAGAAAGGCCCTCCTGGATGAAGTTACAGAATCATCAACCCATACTTTACTTGTAGTGTGTCCTGCGTTTACCCACGTTTCATCAAGGTAATAAATCTTCCTGTTTTGATTCCTCCTCCATAGCACAATTTCTTCTCTATCCAGTAGTAAACTATTACGACCCCGTTTTTTCCATTAGAAATTTAAATGCTTCAGTAACGCATGGAAAGTTGATCGTTTGAAATTTGGCAACGTTGTATCTCCATTTACCTCCTGCAGTACTTTATCTATAGTAGGTATTTCATTCCTAAAGAAGAATTCATGCACTTTCCTCCTAATCGCATGCTTATCAGCTTCATCCAATGATTTAACAATACTTTTGCGATGTTTACTGGTCATTGGCTCAGAAAAGGTGTGATTTTTTTTGTATTGTCTTAACACATTAAACACTGATGCGCGACACACCCCAACTTTGTGAGAAACCTTCACAACAATTTCTTTGATGGTTGATGCCTCGTTCTCCTCGCGCTCGATCTTATATATATTCAAAATGACCTCTTTCATTTCTGCACTCAGGTGTCTTTTTTTAGAGCGTTTCCTAGGTGGACTACAGGAGTTTACAACTTCATCGGTTGTATCTGTACTACTGGGCATTTTGCGCAAGCAGTTGATAACAATAACAATCAATAACAAGGTATAACAATAACAACGACAAACTCAACCACTTAATAAGATAACAAACGAAAACGTCCAAAGAAATATCAAATTGCAATGATGCACACGACATACGTAACACGTCTGAACCTGAATGTGACTCTGCCTTGATACGACTGCTCTGCCGCTCGGCATAGGCATTTAATTGCGAATTGACCAATGAGGGCTCCTGTTTTACGTCGAGACGGCGGCGTTAGCGTGAAAATCACCCGAACCTTTTGTTTACATCCGGTCTATCTCTTATCTGAATATACTGTAGCATTTACAAAACATAATCTCTGTAATGCTGGTTGCCTTCTGTGATGTTGGTTGCACTCTGTAATGTTGGTTGCGATCCGCCACTGTGACTAGCTCTAGCATTTACAAAACATGCTCTGTAATATTGGTTGCAGTCCGCCACTGTCACTAGCTCTAGCATTTACAAAACATAATCTCTGTAATGCTGGTTGCCTTCTGTGATGTTGGTTGCGCTCTGTAATGTTGGTTGCGGTCCGCCACTGTGACCAGCTCTAGCATTTACAAAACATACTCTGTAATGCTGGTTGCGCTCTGTAATGTTGGTTGCAGTCCGCCACTGTGACTAGCTCGAGCATTTACAAAACACATTATCTGTAATGCCGGTTGCGCTCTGCAATGTTGGTGGCGGTCCGCCACTGTCACTAGCACTAGCATTTACAAAACATACTCTCTGTAATGCTGGTTGCCTTCTGTGATGTTGGTTACGCTTTGTAATGTTGGTTGCGGTCCGCCACTGTCACTAGCTCTAGCGTTTACAAAACATACGCTTTGTTATGTTGGTTGCAGTAGGCATCAAGACACTGGTTTGATTCAGTGGATATCATGATATAATATCACTGACGTCTGACCATTCTTATAATCCGCTTTTTTGTGTCGCTAAAAACGACTAATAAAAAACCTCCAGCTCTGGCAGCTTGTTTTCTAGGTAAATCAGTTGCTTATATGTATTCTGAATTCGATGTCAAATCAGTTCTAGGATTCACTACCAATTTTTCATCCCAAATCGGATCCGAGGAAACTGTAGAATTTTTCACTATGTCGGGACCAAAAATGAAACATCGTACACAGGATCGTATTTTCAGGAGGTCTTCTATGTTCTATGTAAGATTTTTTCCTCGGGGTTTAAAAAGATACGGGGTGTTCAAGTTTAAAAATAAAAAACATTTTTTTCATATATCTTCAAAACCGTCAACTGAAAGTATTGTCCACGTTAAAAAGTCTTTACTTAACATTAACGTCCACCAGTGGCGGAGATATAGGGGATTAGTAAAATTATGTTTCTAAATATAAATAGTGCGCCACTGTTTTTACCTTCAATTTGTTACAAATAATTACTGTTGTTTTTTTCCAGAGTACACTGTTTTCGTAAAAATAAAAATAAAACAAATTAGATCATTCATGAAGAGCTGAATTACAATTAGCTTCAAAATGAAATAGGGGGCCTTGATGCCATCTTACGTTTCTTGGAAGATAGTTTGTCAAAGTTATGTGTTACACGGTTGTTATCGTTACTACTGCCATTTTTTTTTTTGTAAAAATCAAGTCGAAGTCTCTTTTTTCCATTTTTGAGTGTTGTGAAATGGAATTTAGCAATAATGAGTACGCAGATATTATTTTTGAATACGGGTTCTATCATGGAAGTGCTTTAGAGGCTTCTTGGCAGTATCAACGTAGATTTCCTAACAGACGCCAACCCACCCCAAAGGTTTTTACGCGTTCATTTATAAGACTTCTTCAATATGGAATTGCCAAACTTCCGGGGTTAGAGGCCACGCTGCCCGGCATACTGTTCAAGAGGTACAACGTGATTAAGCTGGCGTTGGATGATGCTAGTACAAGTACTAGGCCGACTGCAGCCCAGTTACCATGTTTCCAAAGTCTTGCGTGGAGAATTTTAAATCTGGAAACTTTTACATC